TTCTATCACTCATTCATAGGGTGCTCCCCCCAAGAGTCAAGGCCGGGTCCACGCAGGACCAGCCGGAGGCAGGCAGAGCCCCGGATGCATCACTTTCTTTCCTATTTCTCTGCAAGCCCTCACCCCACCTGGCTTACCTGCCCTTCCAAGCCCAGCTCTGGTCCCTCCCTTTCCCGCCAAGAGGCCTTCCCGGTCACACAGGACCCCTGTGGTCGACTGGTCCTTGCAGGCCTCCTGTGCCACCTCTGGCCTATATCTTGGGCATGTGGGGTATATCTACTACTTCTAGCCCCACCCACACCACCCCCAGGCATTCCAGTCTTTCCCAGGGTCTCAGCCAGGCTGACTCCCACTTGCCCGCAGGGTAGCGGGCTACTGAGCTCACTGTAGTTAGTTTTCCAGAATTCCTGGTCTTGCTTCCTCATCCCTCGCCGGCTTCCCAGCATTGCTTTCCAGAACGACTCCTTGCCCCTAGTCTGGTCTCAGAGTTTGCCTTCATAGGGCCCAGGCTAAGACAGTGCCCTCAGTAGGATGGAATGCCTGCCTCTGAGCCCTTTCTCTGCCTAATAACTTAAAACTATTCCAACATGGCGAATTCTCAGGTCACAGGAAATTCATGTTTTCTTTTATAAACAGAAAGAAACCTCTGGAGTGATACCATATCCTTGGGGCTTTCCAGAAACACACAGTCAGGGCTTGCCTTGGACAAGGATGACCACACAGTCAGCAGTGGGGGTGCCTCTGCTCTGTTCATTACACAAGCCGCTTACACCTTCTTTTCTGTCTGCTTTGTTCCCCGAAATCACGGGGAGATTCAGGGTCTCTGTTTGCTCGTTTGCTTCCCAAATGTGGCAGCACGCACACCACACTTCAGGTTGGGAAGCCAGCTCTCTTGAGCCAGTGTGAAATCTCCCAACCTTCTCTGAGTTCTGCTTCCCTTCAGAGGAAATCTCATCCACACAGCTTCTCAGAGCCACTTTATTTTAAATAGACTTTGGGATGTTAATATTCCACTGAATTAACAAGCCTCTGCAGCTCTCCCGCTGCAACCCCGCACCCTTGTGACTTTTACCAGCAGAGTCGACATTATCCCTTGTGAAGCCAAAAACCAAAGAGCCAGTAAGTCAACCTTTCAGAACCTGGTTTTAGTTTTATTCAAAGCCTAAGCTCTGGTAATTCTAACATTGTTCTGTCCTGCCTGACAAGGTTAGAGAAGAGCTGATAAGCGCATATAGATTATGAGCTATTGGAAAATCTATAGATTTTAGGAGGGCATCCAACTCAACAACTCATCGTCCCTAAAAGGAAATGGTTCTTGCTGACCATAATGAAATCGCAACTCGGAAATCCAACCCAGGTGCAGAAATACACTCAGGTACAGAAGAATACTGCACTTGAAAAAAAAAAGAGAGGAGACGGTGATACACATTTTACCCTAAGCATTAATATGTTATCATGCTGTGCCTTTTGATTTAGAATGACCACGGGATGACACTCTGTGACTTGCTCTCATAGTACCTTTCTCAAGTGGACGTAAAAGAAATTTCCAAAAGAAATGCCCAGATTTGGGGATCTTTACAGGCTTTAGTTTTTCTTAATATTGATATATTCAAATGGAAATAAGACTTCAAAACATTGTTTAATGTTTTTATTAAATTGTTTAAATATGTCAGGTGTCCTTATTGCTATGTACCACGCCCAGGGAAGACATTCACTCACATGTTGTTTTTTTCTTTTAAAACATATACACATCTACTGAGAAAGGAGAATGTAATGCACTTTCCTGGGACAAAGTATAAGCTAAGGCAATAGTAGAAAATGAAAATATTCTACGAGCTGGACAAGGACAGCCTTAGTGGGCAGCTCAAAAGCCGCCTGAGAGAGGTGTCAGATTTCTGTTCTGAGACGGAATACGGAACAAGCTGGAAGGAGGGCTGCGTGTAAGCGGGACGGGTTCTCTTTGCACTTCTTCCATTGTTTCCCGTCTACATTAGTTACATCCGCAGTTTTCAGCAGGAGGCGACTTTCCCACCAGGGGACGCTCTACATCGTGTGGAGATATTTTTGGTGGTCAAAACTGGGGGGTGCTACGTCACCTAGCGGGCAGAGTTCAGGGGTTCTGCTAAACACCCTACGAGCCCCCGGAAGAATTATCTGCCCCCAGACGCCAGCAGTGCCAGGATTAAGAAACCTCACCTTACACGTTTGCTATCCCCCTTGAGAAACATCTCATCACAGGATATTTTTCAAAGGGAAAAACATACCATAGGTTTTCGTTCACATAATAATCATTGAACACCGAAATCCCCCCGTAACAATAATGAGAACAACACTGACTGAGCGCTCCCTCCACACCAGGCACGCGTCCGAGGGCCACACACCCGTGAACCCATTCAGCCCCCGGCCTGACCTCCTGCGCGAGCTACTGACATTCACCGCATTTCAGAGAAGAGGGGCGCAGCCCAAGCAGGAGGGGACTGGCCCGGGGTACAGAGAGGCTGAGTGGAGGAGCTGGAGTTTGAGACCAGGGGTCCTGATTTCCAAGTTGGTTGTATGTGTCCTTCTGCTCTGACCACGTGCAGCTCAGGGATGGCCGCCCAGGGTCTGCACTCGTGTGGGTACTTCTAGGCTTTGCTGGGGTTGTGCTCACAGAGGAGGACACAGAGGAGGGAGGGCATAGAAAACCTAATGCCAAATTTGTTACCCAAATAACTGAGTGGGGAGAAAACCCGTTAGCACTGGACGCTGCCCCTAAGCAGTGAGACCACCTCTTGTGAGATCTGAAAGGTGGTTCTGTGATCCTGTAAAGGCCTGAAACCCCCACCAGACCAGGGAAAAGAATGACAGCAAACCCTGCGCGCTTCCAGAGTGACTGGAAGGCCACTGGCCTAGAAACAGAAGGGTTCGTAATTCAGGTTCTCGGGGGAAAACGCCTGGATTGACATCGTAAGTTTTGGTTGTAAAAGTAAATTGCTAAAGATCTACACTCAATTATAATGAGATCCAGAAGCAGCAAAAGCAGGGGAAGCGCCTCTCAGACATAAAAGCGGCAGAATCCCCTAGTCGGGAGGCACCGCCCCTCACTGATGCTGCTGATCCAGGACCCGCGGGGCCTCAACTCCCCGGAAACTGGCACCCGCTTTAAAGAAAATGACACCATCACTGAGTCAACAGCACAATCAATAGGACTAATTTTAATGAAGATCTTTTTTTATTCCCAAGAAGGTTTTCCTCTTCGAAGCCTCCATCTTCGCTTACTGAATTTGTTTTTCTTACAGCATCCCCTGACGCCCTCCAGTTAAAGCAGGAGAGAAAAACAATCCAACGCAGGCTGTGAATCCTATATCCTGATCTAATCAAAAGTGAAAGGACAGATGGCCTCAGACTAGGGGACACGACTCACTGGCGGGTGTCAAAACCCCGTCATGAACAAAGAGTAAAGACTGAGAAACTTTCGGGGACCGGAAAAGACTGGGGACATGGGACAACTAAATGTGGGAGCCAGGCTGTGATGCTGGAACAGAAAGGGGGCACTAATGGAAGAACTGATGAAATCTGAATAAAGCCTGGGGTTTACTGACTAGTCGTGTGTAGCTTCGGCCTCTGGGTAAGATGTTAACACAGGGCGCTGAGTGAGGGCTGAGTGCGTGCTCTCTCTACGGTTCTGTCATTTTTCCATATACCTGAAGTTATTCCAAAATAGATTTTGTTTTAAATAGAAGATTCTATTTTTAATAAAATAAATTTTATTTTAAAAAAAGCAGCAGCAGCAAGTTGCCTAAACAGAACTGCTGGTCTAGACTGATGCCTGGAAGAATTTTAATTCTGTCCTCAAGATACTGAGATGGGGGAATGCCACCCCTCTGGGAGCACATAGAATGCCTGCACCCAGCGCCAAGAACAAAACCAAAATAAATTAAGGTAATGAAATTAAATACTGTGACATCAGCATCTCCCATTGAGTGAGACTGAGGGGTTAGATGCTCCCGCAGCGCCCAGCCCTTCACGTACGCTTCCGCGTTTAATTCTCAGAATAACTCAAGAAGGTTGTGCTGGAAAGATGATCACTGATTCCACTTCAGAGTGAAAGAGAAAAACTAGAGAACAGTCGCGGGCAATTCAGCTTCATAATTCATTCACTCTGTCAAGCCCCAGAGAGTTTACAAAGTGGTGTCGTGGTTCATCCTCAGGGCGGTGGGAAGAAGTCACTGCCCCCATTTCACAGATGAGGACAGGGAGGCTCAGAGAAGGAAGGGCTTCCTCCAAGATAAGGAGGCCGCAAAGGGCAAAGGGGGGCTGCAGCCCCAGAATGTTCCACTCGGTGACGCAGCGCAGAAGGAAACGGCCACGCATTGAGACTGAGACCCCTATTCCACGAGTCCCCCTGCCATCCCGGCTTATGATTAACTTCTCTACCCAAAACTGTAATCCTTTTGTTGTTCCCCAACCCCTGTTCCCTCAGGATTGATGGGTATCAAAGAAAAAGGGGGACTGAAACCTAGCAGGACCCTCCCAGGTACAAAAGCCCCTCCGTGTCCCCTGTTTCTTTTTTGTAGAAAAAAGGCTTTATTCAGTGTCCTAGACCTTCTCAAAGCTTCAAAGAGCAGCCTGGAGAGTTAATGGCTAGCACCAGTCACAGGACTCCTGGTCCCTCCGGAAGGGGCAGGCGTAACACTCTGACGCACATCTTTGACTTGTTCTACTTTGCCCACCTTCAACAGGACCGTCTTCCACTCAGAGCCAAGACCAGACCACACAGTTCTGAAGAAGAACAAATACGGGCAGGAGGATGAGGAAGAAGCCCACAGGGGACAAGGAGGGCTGTCCTGTGGGGTGACCAGTGCTGCGACCTCCCACCCACCCTGGAAACAGGTGCTTTCGCTTTTGTTTGTTTCAGCGCGAATGATGACAGCCATACACTAGGCTGGTTCTAGGGGGTGATGCCTCCCTTCGACACACATTCATTCCTTAAAGGAGCAAACCCGGCACTTCCCGGGACCGCAGGGCCATGCGGGACAGGTGGGGGCATACCTGCTAGCATCAGGGCTCGGATGCACTCTGTTCGGCCCTGCATGGCGGCTTTCATCAGGGCCGTGAACCCAAAATCATTCCTCCTTTCAAGGTCAAGGCCGGGGAAATAGTTCAACAAGTAGTTGGTGATGGTGACGTGTCCTGCGAAGAGAATTGCACACGTGCATTAACCACACTCCACAAACAGCGCGCCTTCCAGAGAGGCCTTCCTGCTGAGAGAGAGAGAAATGTTGCATGGCCAAACCGGGGCCAACCTGTCTGGGGGCGGGGCGGAATGTGTTTGCTTCTCAGGCTGCAAGAAGTAATTCTCATGAGTGCAGGAAACACAGGCCCACCCCGGCCATGGTGTGGCTGCCTCCGGTTCTTTCTTGTTCCCTCTGCCAACCCACTTGGAAACCCAGCTGTCCTGTCAACCTGTTACAGAGGGAACGTGGTGGGCAAGGATGCTACAGGGATGGCATGTGATAATGCAGAGCTAGCCCCATGCAGACACTGCCTGGTCAGGGGTGTGGTCCTGGATGCTGTCAGCTCCCTGGAGATGCCAATGCAAGCAGGTGCAAAACGGGAAATGAAACCCGGAGCCATTCCCCGGAACTCCGGGGCTTCAGAGATTCAGGGAGGAGAAAAGACATCATCTCATCATAATAGCAACACGGTATGCCAGTGCATGCTGCCACCCTGCTACTTACCTCTCTCTCTCTCACACACACACACACATACACACACACACACACAGAGGCAGGGAACACAGGCAGCATGACTACCCAGACCCTCAGCCATAAACCCAAGCAGTTAAGAACAGTCATTTGAGAATACGGATTCCTCCCCTTCATCACCTTGCACTTCCAAAAGGGCCTGACTTTCTGCTCATCCCCAGAGGCTTTTCAAAAAGCCCAAGTGCTCTTAGACAGCAGTGACTAAGGAGAACACATGTGAGAGCAGTGTTCCCAGATTCTCCAGCCTCGCCCATGCAAAACCGAAATGGAGCAGAGAGCTCCTCCCACAGAAGGCCCTGGGCCACGGGAAGAGGCTCCTGGGTCAATTATCCACGCTGCCCGAGGCCCACTGGCCACACTGCTCAAGTCCTCATGTGAAATGACACGCCACCCTCCCCTTAGACCCTTCAGTCCCTCAGAGGAGGGTTCTGCCCCCGGCATTGCTGACACCCAGAGCCGCACTGTTCCTTGTCGTAGGGCTGTCCTGGGCACCGCAGGACAGACAGCAGCACCTCTGGGCGCCATCCACCAGATGCCGGCAGCTACTGTGCCCTCCCTCCCTCCCTCCCGGGTCTGACAACCAAAAGCACCTCCAGACATTGCTGAGTGTCCCCTGTGGGCGTGGAATCACTGCTGTTGAAACCATGGAGCTGGAGGCTCAGATCTCACTGTTTCGGGACCAGGAGGGGAGAGGGAGCTCCCCTGCTTCCCTGTACCCTGGCCCCTGCACCCTCCAGCCTGCCTCCTGGCTGCCTTCTCCATCCTGACCCCTCTCGTGGTGGCTAACACACCCTTTAGGGTCTTAGCAACCTGCAGAAGTTCTCTCCTGAGCCCGGCTGGAGGGCCTGGCTGCCCAGTCTCCATCCTCATATGCTGAGGATACAGCTCCAAACTCCGCCCCCCAACCCCTACCCTGTGCACGTGCCTTGGAAACACCCACAGTCGGGGGTGCTGGTGCGGAGCTGGTGGACAGTTCATTGCACTCCCTGCTCCCCGCAGGGAGGCCTCTGCCCCACAGGGAAGCCAGGGTCCCTGAGGCTCCTTTCCCGGCTGGTCTCGGGAAGGGTGCTGGGTGCGATGTGAGACGTGGCAGAGGAGGTGAGGCCTCCTCCAGAGGGCGGGGAGCCCCGAGACACGAGGGGCCTCCCAAGGCTCGGCCACCTTGCTCTGCAGACTGGGAGGCCGAGGGAGCCGAGGCCCTCAGCACAGCATCCAGCGTCTCGGAGAATCCCCTCCCTGCTGCAGCGATGCCTCCTGGGCCTTCGATCCCCTTCCTGCCGGTGCCATGCATGCCCCACCTTAAGTCCTCCCAGGGTGAGGGCTGTCCTCTCATCACACTCTGGCGAGACGACCATCAGGCAGGGACCCAAATTCCCTCCTTGCATGGCACCCAGACACCACCCAGCAAAACTGCATCTTTCTCATCAACTTCCAAGTTACAAATAAGTGATAAAAATTAGCATGTGGACTCTTCCAGAAGCAGTGTCATCTGCTCATCACAGACCTCAGCCCATCTCCTAAACTCACCGCAAAAATTCAAAGCTACACAAACATGTAGCTTTCTCACTTTCTGAGAGAAGCACTGACTCATGTGATTGTGTTGCGGGGTTAACAAGCCAGACACAAATGGGTGTGACCCTCTGGCCCCATGACCCACAGGTTTGAGCAGCAGCTGATGCATTTTGACTCATTCACATCACTTTGCCTTCTGCTGTCATCTACAGCCCCCCCTCCCCCCGTAGCCGGATGCTAGCTGTGGGGCCCCAGAGCCGCTTATCTGCTCTAATCCGTGTGTGTGTTGTGGGCGGGGTGGGGGTGGGGCTTTCATTTTGGGCTTATCATCCAGCTAAACACTTTGTGGCATCTGTCACTTAGATCAAGCCAGGGTCATGGTGCAACGCATCGCAATTCTTTTAGAGCCGTTTCTTTACAATCGTGAAGGAGCGTGTCCTTCGCAATTTTCAGCAGGATTTCCTCTGCACTGACATGTCCTAAACACTGCGAAGAGGTGGGAGACGAAAGTTGACAATCCACAAAGCTAACAGCCCATTATACAGATCAGTCCCGCATCTTACGTTGAGGTCAGAAAAACCAGCATGCAGCCCACCCATCCTGACTACTCTGACCGCCGGCTTGAGCTGTCAGTGACCCACGGAAGCACCCTCGGCACCACTGTCTTTCCCAGGATGACAGAATAATACCGCTTATTCTGCAGACGACCTCGTTCAACAGAAATGAAGAGTGGACCCAACGCTGCTAAGAATGAATAGGTATTAACCTTTCTTCTTAAAAACCGTGACAATTAACCAAAATGAGCCTTCCTTTTCTTTAGTGAGACAGCTAGCTAGCTGGATGACAGATCCTAGAGAGAACATAGCCTTCCTCGTGTAACAGAACCCAAACGTGCCGCATTCTGAAATCTAGCTTGACTCTAGTCCAATTTTGACCTTATGGAATAGGATTTGGCTCCTGAAGTCCTCAGAGTGGACTTAAAGAGTGGGCTGACCATACTGAGCCCCCAAACACCCACCCCAACCCCATGAGCCGTAACCTGCCTAAGAGAAGGGCACAAGTGACCCAGGGAATCAGTTAACTCTTGATGAACTAGCTTCCGTGTGGTAATTCCATGGCAGTGTAAATGGAGAACTCAGTACTTCAGAGAGTTGGCCCTGAGAACTCCCAAGTTCAAGTTTCCAACCCACCACTTAAAATCTGGATGACCCTAGGAAGGTAAGTCAACTGCACTGAGTCTCTACTGACTCATCCGGAAAATGGGGGATAATATCAACCTCACCACTGTGGAAATGACAGGAGATAGGGGTTGTATAAAAAGTGCCTGATGGACAAATCTCCCGGCAGAAAAATTTCAAGGAATTTAGGTGTGTGCTCTACTCCCAAGGAGATGAAACACAGCAACTTGCTCCTTAACTCTGGGCTGTGCACAGAGACCCCCCCCCCCTCCAAAGAGCGGACCGGAGGAAGGAGGGAGACGGGAGTCATCTTACAGCAGAGAAGCCTGGCCAGCACGACCTCAGCCCGGTGGTCCAGGCCCACAGGGATAAGGCAGGCCCACAGCATGTGCTGGTAATGATTCTCTGCTCGATCAAACTTTAGCTGGGCTCCTGAATTCCTCCCAGGCCCATCTATGCACTTCCTGGTAAAATCTCATTTTAGCAAGAACCCAGCTCATAAGTCAGTTTAACCAGAACACTCCACCCGTGGTATCTGATCAGTTCCTCACCCTCCACCATCCCCCAGGTGATATCTGATCACCCTGGCCTGTCTTCAGCAAGAATCCTGTTAGGTCGCTTCGGCCAGAATCTCCCTGATGTTTCCTCTTAGTAATTTTCCATCCACAGACCCCTACCCTGCCCGTTGGCTATAAATCCCCACTGGCCCTTGCTGTATTCAGAGTTGAGCCCAGTCTCTCTCATCCACTGCCAAGTCCCATTGCGATGGTCCTTATACCGATGGAAACGATTCTGAATCAAGTCTGCCTTACCATCTGTAACAGGTGTCATTGGATATTCTTTTTATTTTAACAAAATCCTTCATATGATGTCAGAAGAGTGGTCCTTTCCTCTGTGGTCCTCCTTTGAAAAACCTGTAACTCCAGTCTAATTATCAAAAAAATGAGACACACACAAATTGAGGTAGACACTCCACAGACTACCTGACAAGTTTTCCCCAAAAGTCTGAGAAACTGTCACAGCCAAGAGGAGCTAAGGGGACATGACAACTCAACATCACGTGGGATCCTAGCTGGGATGGTGGAACAGAAGAGAGACATTGGGAAAAAACCGAGGAGGCCCAAATCAAAAACGGACCTGAGTTAATATTAAAAATGCATCAGTGTGGGTTGGTTTGTTTTGTCAAATGTATCCTCCAAATATAAGACCCTAACCACAGGGGAAGCCCGGCGTGGGGAACACAGGGATTCTGTGCACAGTCTTTGCAGTTTGTAAGTCTGAACTGTTCTAAAACTGAAAGTGTATTTCACGAAAGGAGGCTCAGGGTCACTCGACAAGAGTGAAGCAGAGGGACAATAATTCTCAGCTGGCTGCCGGGGGTGGAGCCTCTCCACGCCATCCACAAACCTCACCAGTGGTGCAGGAAGCTCACCAGGAGGCTGTGGTGGGCACAGACGATGGCGGCTGGACGCCAGGATGGACCCTGGGAAGGCCAGGTGGATGGAGAGGAGATGCTGACACAAAGCACTCATAAACAGACAGGCCTCGGTGACTGCCTGACTGAGCCAAGTAACAGAAAGAGAAAACGATGACTCCTGGTACCACCACAGCCCCAGGGTTCTGGCTTCGCTTTGGATGGTCAGTGGCATTTTCTCTAAGAGCCGATGCGGGCAGAAACCCATGCTAGCCACGCTTGACTACCTATCCATCTACCTATGTTACCAAAGCCAAGGAA